ATTTTTAGATTGTGTATATTTTTAGAGTGTGTATATTTTTTTGATAATGTATATTTTTAGATTATGTATATTTTTAGATTATGTATATTTTCAGATTATGTATATTTTCAGATTAGGTATATTTTTAAATTATGTATATTTCCATGTTTATGTATATTTCTAGTCATTATGATTATGTATATTTATACATTATGTATATTTCCAGATTATGTATATTTCTAGTCATTATGATTATGTATATTTTTAGATTATGATTATGTATATTTTCAGATTATGTATATTTTTAGTCATTATGTATATTTTTTAGATCATGTTTTTTTTTTAGATTATATGTCTTTTAGATATAAAATATAATTTCCACATTTTGTTCAATTTTAAATGGATTAATCGATCCTAATTAAAATAAATCCCAAAATCCCATTAAAAGATATTACCCAAGATTTATAGGTGATGCTGGCCTGTTTATATGGTCTGCAGAGAATGACAAATATTGTGAAAATTTCAATTTATCATAACTTTGTAAATATTCAATAGAATTGAACCATTTTTGGACTGATATCCCTTTTAGAGAGAGAGAGAGAGAGGGAGATATGGGGTTTAACTTCAACTTGACACAAACTAGGTCATTTCGGGACTAACATATGGTTTAATTTTATTTCAGTAATTTACTTGCGCGTAGGGGTCTGGGAAGAAACCAGAGAACCCGGAGAAAACCCACGAGGTTGGACAGGCGACCCTACTCCTTGTCACGTACAACCGGGGATTCGAAACCACGCCAGTTGACTCAATGACAGGCTTTATGATACATGCTAACCATTCGACCATCCAACCCCCCTATTCCTTTTAGAGATTCAACTTTCAAAATATTTTAATTTACAAGGGATTAAAAATCTCTCAAATAATGATCCTAAGCTTTATTAATAAATAAAATAAAATTGCAGACAATCCTTATACAGGTATAACCAGGTGTAATATATCACAGACACGTTGACAGGAATATTTATATCAATTTTAACACCTGTAAATTATGACAAGCCTTGATGTTCATATAATACATCTAGTACTACAAGTATGACAGATTCAAGTCACAGTTATATGAATAAAAAATGAGTAGGCATATTGAGAGAGAGAGAGAGAGAGAGAGAGAGAGAAGGGAGAGAGAGGGTTAACACCCACTGGACACAAACTAGGTCATTTAGGGACCAACATATGGTTCAATTTTATTTTAATAATTCGCCTGTGCGTAGGACTAGGAGTCTATAGCAGTGGGAGGAAACCAGATGGTATCTCTAAACAGTCTTACCTTGTTAAAGAATAATCCTATTAATCCTATAATTCACTATTGCCAGCTGAGAAATTGGCAAAAATATCATTTTCAACTTCAAATTCAAACATTTGGAGATAGCTATTCCATGGGGGGGCGGGGGGGGGGGGGAGGGGAAATAGAAAAACAAGGGAGGTAATTGTGTTATTATTTCCGGGGTGAATGTGATTTTTAAGTGTGAGAATGACACCTAGGATCGTATAATAGTGAGTTGACAACCTATTGAACAAAAAACAAGGGAGGTAATTGTGTTATTATTTCCGGGGTGAATGTGATTTTTAAGTGTGAGAATGACACCTAGGATCGTATAATAGTGAGTTGACAACCTATTGAACAAAAGACATAGAAATAATTATGATTTGACTTTTCCTAGAAAATATGAAATTCTCGCTTTAAATACCCCACTTGAACTAGGGGTTTATGTTATTTATAGAAATAAAAATCTGTAACTTTCTAACAGCTAGAAATAATGCGTAATCTAAAAGATAACATCTACCAATCTACAACAGAGTATGTATAAATGCCTTCTCTAAGATCTCCCACCGATTGGAGCAACTCAGTTCGCTGAGCCCATTATATTTTTCGAACTAAAGAGAAGAAATTCCCATTAAACTGATCCATGGTCATATACATGTAGAGAGGGAGTTTAACATCTACTCGACACAAATGGGGACACTTCGGGACTAACTTATGGTTCAATTTTATTTTATTTAATTCGCTTGCACTTACAGCAGTAGGAGAAAACCGGAGAATACCTACGAGCAGTGGTGACGTCGGTCGCTAAAGTCTTAATTTGAGATAAAAATATGAAAGCCGCGATAAAAAATTGATTTTGGCAATATCGTTTTTGCGATTCTTTTTGAGAACTAGTGGAAAATATCTTAAAATTCTAATTGTATAGCATCCTAGATTGACCGCTACATTGAGTGTCAATCACAATCACGTGGCGGCATGCTATAAATTAATCGACTCACTGACAATCTGGATGGCGTCAATGAGTATCGTAATATTAACCAATTGTCTCAGATAAGTGGGTAAGACGCTGGCTCGCTATCCTGGAGGTCGGGTGTTAGATCCCTACATTTGCTCGAGAAAGTTCATCCCGATTTTTCGGGGTGGTTCCCCTTGTCAGTGATGCTGGACGGAGGGCCTGACAAAGGCAGTTGTCTAGTCATTTGGATTGTTTGAAAAAACGTGGACCCATGTACACATTGGGGTGCAAGTAAAAGATCCCTTGACAGTTGGAATTCGATATAAGAGCAGGCTGTAGTGCCGCTGTCCGGGCATAATTTCCTTCATAGCACACTGTATTGCATATGCCCGTTTTCATTAGCCCAAGTCGGAGCAGAACAGTAGGAAGTTAAACCCTATTTCATTTCATTTCATTTAATGATAAGTTGATTGATAATTGCCAATGATATTATAGAGTCTATCTCAAGTCATTATTTACTTCTTATAATTAATCCAAGCAGTGATTATGTGATGTTTCGTTTCGCCTTTAAAACAAAATGGAAAAAATCAAAATTGTCGCCAATTCTTTTTGAAGAGATTTAAATATTTTAACAGTTGAATTCTGTTTACTGCGGTTTCATACGGCATGTAAAATATACAAGCATGCATAAATGGATATTATTATTTCAAATTATATCATCACAAATAGTCAGAAACGAAAGAACGAAAACGGTCCACCGATTGTTTCATTACGGCCGCCAAAATGCTCTAAAGTGAACAACTAGTTTGATTGAAAGCATCTCTTACACAAATAAATTGAAATTTCTATCAGGGATTCCGATTCTGATACCATTACGGTACCTGAAAATAACAATAGGCCTATTGTACACGCAAAACATAAATTTACAGAAATGGGGTGAGATCTGACGTGTAAATACTGAAAATATCTGACATGTAAATACTGAAAATATATTGTGCAACACAGTGTGTGAAAAAAGACTAAGTCACCAAAAATAAAATGTGATCTTAGTAAATCATCTCAAAACTGGGCTAATGTATTATGTAAAGATGGATTTTTTTCAGTTGTTGTACTGTATTGTAAATGTATATACCTACATGTACAGGTATAATAGCCTACCTGAGAAATAAAATTGTTACATTCTGTCTTTTATATCACACATTTTGGCAAATAAAATATGCCAGGTGGTGAAACTAAATATGAACATTTTTTTATATAAAAATTATTATCCATTTTGGCGAGAAAAAAAATTGAAAGCCAGTCAGTGTAAGCACTGCCTACGAGGTTGGACAGGTGACTCTACTCCTTGTCATTTACAAGCTGGGAATTGAAACCACGCCACTTGACTCAATGACAGACTTTGTGATTTCATGCGCACCCACATAATTAACCCACCAACACCCCCTCACCCCATGGCCATACATGTACACCTCAAATTGAAAGAGAGAGAGAAAGAGAAATGGACTTGACAATCGACACAAACTAGGTCATTTTGGGACTAACATATGGTTTAATTTTATTTCAATAATTCGCTTTTGCGTAGGGGTCTTTAGCAGTGGGAAGAAACCGGAGGACCCGGAGAAAACCCACGCGGTTGGACAGGTGACCCCACTCCTTGTCACGTACAACTGGGGATTTGAAACCATGCCAGTTGACTCAATGACAGGCCTTATGATACAGCGCGCACGTGCTAACCATTCGGCCATCCAACCCCTGTAAATGGAAAGATTGCAAACTTACTGTATATTCTACTATAGATGTAGGCTATACAAGAGTGCGTTTCTACAAAGACAGCAGCAAGATTCTACGTCTGAAACATCTCCCACTTCTTGTCTACGATATCACAACAACTGTGTATATAGCAGACATTGAAACACCAGTTACACTGACTACTACCATTACTACGACTACTACTGTATACAGCCAATGGTATGGGGAAATCACACCATGGTCACCCATACTTAGGCCTTTTCAAACAAGCCAAGAATTTCTTAAGTCAACTCATCCATGTGGTGGATCAAAACGGATCACATCTAACCTTCTATCTGGTCAATAATGTTAAATTCTACCACTCATCGTTTTCTATATTTGGCTGGTGAGTTGAGAAAAACTCTCCTTAAAGACTCCTTAAAGATATATTATGTACGATTTAGATAAGCAGTTGGCCGTTCTTGTTATACATGTAATAGCTCAAAAATACTTGTAGAGAGAGAGAGAGAGAGAGAGAGAGATGGGTTTAACGTCCACTTGACACAAACTAGGTCATTTCAGGACTAACACATGGTTCAATTTTATTTCAATAATTTACTTTTGCATAGGGGTCTTTAGCAGTGGGAGGAAACCGGAGGACCCGGATAAAACCCATGGGGTTGGACAGACGACCCTACTCCTTGTCACGTACAACTGTGGAATTGAAACCACGCCAGTTGACTCAATGACAGACCTTATGATACTGCACGCACATGCTAACCATTCGGCCATTCAACCCTTCTGACAGTGCTGACAGATGCCCCTCCTTCGTAAAATGTAAGGTATGTATATATATTGCTACCACTTTAAAGCAAGGAAGTCCGGCGGATTAAACTGAAGTTCAAAACTTAATTGACAAAATGGTATTACTATTATTAGAGCAGAATCTGAAATGACTATATTATGTACATTGTTTTCGTTAGGTTTCTATAATACATGTATGTAGGCCTACTTTACCTGAAATCTTAAAACTGAATCACGACTGCCTCTGGATGACGTCTGCTTGTCACCAAATAAATGAAAAATGTAAGGTCCTACTAACAAACAGGATATCACTAACAGGCCTAATTTAATTAGAAAATTCCTTCTTAATCCAAAAATCTTCATTATTCTTCTAATTCACTCCTTCCAACAAACTTTCTTCAATCAAAACATTGATTCTTGGATGGTTGCCTTTTCTGTTGAGTTACGTTGTTTTTTGTTTTTAATCCATATAAAAAAACAACAATCAACACAAAGATTAATTGAGCAAGTTTCTATAAAACAAAAACAAATTTCTTGATTTCAAAATCAAAATAATAATGACCCATCAGCCAACGTGTAAACTGAGTAATTCGAGTCCTTGGGTTGTCACATTCTAAAAGGTTTTAGATCAATAGTTATAGTATGCTAACGTGGCCAGTCGTATCTAAGCTCCGCCTATTATATATTCTTGCCCTTTTCCAATTAGTTCAGTTGTTCACCGGTCGAGTATATGAAACTCAAAACACGTTCAGTAGGTTCATCAAATCCTAACCTAAAGAAATACGAGAAAAATTCACTGCGTACAGACCTCGAGTTTGCCTGAAGCTAATCGATAATAAACACACACGGTCCTGATTGAACTGACGCCCAGAAGGATAATATTTTTAGAGATCCAAATCAAATAACTTTACTCGAAGGCCGATAAAGTTTTCTTGGATAGCGAAAAGGTGATCATTTGTTTAGATTTCGTGTGAAACTTTCGACGAAGCTTCTGCGGACGATATTTAGAGTAGCCCCCCTTTATAAAGTCTTGCTTCTTTAGTCTTTCCGTGACACGTGTTCATTTTCATGGGAAGCCTTCCCAACAAATGAAATATTTAAAATTTAATAAGAAGGAAACCTCAGAAATGTCATCGTCGTTCAAACCGTTTGCTAATTAATAAATAAATAATTTGAAACGTTGGAATCATGCGTTTACTTATTATATTAACAGAATTAACAAATTATGACAGTTTGTTAATATAGTAGTTTGGGAAAGCGTAGCCTAAATGATGGACTAGTACAGTACGTAGTATTGGTAATAAGGTCCATGCCAAAATTAATGTGAATAAATAAAATAAATGAAGAATGGGGATCTTGGAATTATATAGGTTCTACATCAGCATTTCTAGCACCATATTTCATTCAGTTGGACGGGGAAAATTTAAAGCTGACACGTGGCACGTGGATTGAAATATTTTATAACTTTAATTGCCTAATGAAGGGATTAGCGTTAAGCCTTTCTAAAATTAAACCATTTGGCTCGCCACTTACGTCACAAACTCAGTCTAAAAATAGAACCGAGGAAGTCCGAATAACGGGCACCTGCCGTCGGCAGTTTGTATTATCCAGTCTGAATGAACAAAGTAAAGTAAAGTCTAATTGGATAAACGAGGCTACCTTGCTTTGGTAACAGAGATAAACAATATGGCGACTGTGAATGAATGAATGAATCTGAAAAGCATGACTATTTTTAAAACTTGCCGGAACAACAATAGAAAATATTTATAACCGAAATACGTTTTTATTGTTATTTATAACTGCTCAAGTTTTTAAAAAGGATATGTACGAAAATACTTATTACAACGACTATTACGAGGACGGCAATGAAGACGAAAGGAAAGGCTATGGGCATGCCCATGGGGATTATGGCTACGGATACGAGGGGGGCTACGGCTACGAGAGAGAAGAGGAAAATCCAGTTCAACACTTAAATGATGATGTGAGGTTAACGTGGGCGGGGCCGATCAGCACCAGTTTATATGGAGAACATATCCAGAAACTTAGTCGTAAAACAGAATCGAACCTTGATCGCCTCCGTTCAACTATGAGCTGTTCGGATCTCTATAAACCGTCTCAAAATAATTCTAAATTAAACTCAAGTATGTGTGTAAAATTTTCTTTTCTGTAAATCATATTGATATAATCTATCCAACCGTAGCATAATGGGGTGGGGGTGGGGTGGGTGGGTTTTCTTGTTCACATTGTATCCTAAGGTCTGTATCATTGAGTCAACTGGCATGGTTCCGATTCCCTGGTTGTACGTGACAAGGAGTAGGGTCACCTATCCAACGTCGTGGGTTTTCTCCGGTTTCCTCCCACTGTTAAAGACCCCTATGGCCTATTATTGAAATAAAATTGAACCATGTTAGTCCCAAAATGACCTAGTTTGTGTTGAGTGGACGTTAAACCCCATTTCTCTTTCTCTCTCCCACCGCCACACCCCCACAGACAAGACCTAATGTTTTCTGACTCTCCCCTGACTAACTTTTATTATAATAAAACATCAGAGGTCTACAAGTACTCAATGTAACGTACTATAGTAATTTTTCGTGGGGAGGTTGGATGGCTGAAAGGTTAGCGTGTCATAAAGTCTGTCACTGAGTCGACAGGCGTGGTTTCGAATCCACGGTTGTATGTGACAAGGAGTAGGGTCGCCTGTCCTACCTCGTGGGTTTTATCCGGGTCCTCCGGTTTCCTCCCACTGCTAAAGCCCCCAATGCGCAAGTGAATTATTGAAATAAAATTAAAACCATATGTTAGTCCCGAAATGACCTAGTTTGTGTGGAGTGGACGCCAAACTCTCTCTCTCTCTCTCTCTCTCTCTCTCTCTCTCTCATTTTTCGTGAAATGGATGGATATTTAAATGCTTGTCACAGTTGTGAATTGATTTTTTTAGTAAAAGTATAAATTCCATGTATCTAGGTATCGTTGTTTTTATTTCAGTGTTTTCTGTAAATAATTCTGGTCCATATTCAATATCATCAGCTTCCATTGACGACACCGCCTCTATTTCATCAACAGGTAAAATAGAACAAATTACTTGGTGTTGTGTTGAGTAGACATTAAAGGGACTAGCCCGATTTGAACAGAGACTCAAAAATAAATGTCCGAGTGCGTATGAAATTTAAGCGCCAAAATATAGAGGAGTGGCGTATTTACCTTGTCTCAAAATTTCAGCTCAAAATATTGAGTCATTTGGACGTGAATGTCAAAACTGCTTATCCGAGCACGTAACCCTTTTAAGAATTCGGGTAAATCTTTTCGTTGGGTGACTTGATGATCGATTCCCGTTCCTTTTGAGGTTTATACAGTGAATGACCCATGTGCTATACTGGATAACGAAAGGTAAATTTCACCAACACATTATTTTTATAAAAAAATGTCTTATTTTATCCAGATACCGCATAAGACATCTTGAGACACCGGTCTCCATTTCCAGATGAAGACTGACGGGTTTAAGTTGTTTGAAAACATATCATAAATATTGAGTTAGTTGCTCGGCCCTTAGGTAGACAATTTTAAGGGATTTTAACACAAAATTAAGCAGTTTTATTCTCCAAAATATTATCGGGATTGGCCCTTTAAACCCATTTTACTCCCTACTTGATATGTTATCAATGATTAATTAGAATGAGATATTGACCAATCACCTTCCTAATATGATGTCATATAATATCATATTGACCAATCACCTTCCTAATATGATGTCATATAATATCATATGAATTGAAATGGGATTCAATGTCCTACTGTTCTTCGGGAGTTGGATGGCCGAATGTTTAGTGTGCGTGCTGTATCATAAGATCTGTCATTGAGTCAACTGGTGTGGTTTCTATTCCCCGATTGGACATGACAAGGAGTAGGGTCGCCTGTCCAACCTAGTGGGTTTTCTCCGAGTCCTCCGGATTCCTCCCACTGCTAAAGACCCCTACGCGCAAGCGAATTATTGAAATAAAAAATTAAACCATATGTTAGTCCCGAAATGACCCAGTTTGTGTTGAATGGACGTTAAACCCCATTTCTCTCTCTCTCTCCCCGACGCAATGCTATGGTCTAGTCTTGTTTCAAATTCCAACTGTCAAGGGTTCTTTTACGGACATACTGAATTGAGCACAAGGCTTCAGTTGTTTTATCCAATACGAATGACTAGACACTGCCCGTGCCAGGCCCTCCGTCCTGCACCACTAACAATTGAAGAATGTGCAGGAAAATCCTGAGGAACTTTCCCGGCCAACACCAGGATCGAACCCGAGACCTCCTAGTTAGTGAGTCAGCGTCCTACCCACTGAGTCAAAGTGGCTCCCATTGTGTGATGTCGTCATGATGTATATTGGTTTGTTGTGTTCTGTATATTTTAATGTATATACTGATATTTCTGGTAATGTTAGTCCCAAAATGACCTGGAATGTGGCGAGTGAATGTTAAAACCCATACATGTATATATTGATATTTCTGGTAATAGTTATGTTTTCTCTGGGTACCCCCTACAGCTAAAAAATCCTGTGCAAAAGTAAAATTAATCCATATGTTAGTCCCAATATGACCTGTATTTTGTCAAGTGGATGTTAAAACCCATACTGCTATGTCTGATAATATTTTATGTAATTACGTATTTTTTTATTTCAGGTTTTAACTTTTGTTATTTATGTTCAACTTTGGAAGAACATCAGAAAAATCATCTACATGTAAGTCTAACTCTTACCATATGTTAGTCCCATAATGATCTAGTTTGGGTTGGGTGGATGTTAAACCACATTTCATTTCAACCCTCCCACCTCCCCACCCCCCAACCCCCACCCCAATGAAAATCATCTTATTTAGTATCATGATGTTACCTAACCAAGGCATGGATGTTATGGACCTCCAAGATCCATCCATTCATCGGAGCAGAACAATAGGACGTTAAACCCCATTTCATTTCATTTTCCAAGATCCCTCCCTGAATGCCATCGCACTTGTAAAATCAATCACAAATGAAATCTAAAAATATATTTTTCCATTTTCTTTCTAGAATCATCCGAAAAAAACCAAGAAACCACGGAAACCAAGAATAGAATACATTGCTCCATTACCTCATGTGAAGCGGAAACCACGGGAACCATTAACAGCCAGTCATGAAGCCCTATATAAAGTTGTTGTTTATGTTGGAGATGTTCCTGGTGCCAGTAGTGATGCTAACGTAAGATTATTTATAGATTATTTGGACAGCGATCTTTCCAGTATCACTCAGCAGCATTTTGGAAAAAGAGAGAGAACCTCGCCGTAACAGACCGTTTCATTGGCTAATCCCTTACATCAACCAGAACGTGTGTTATTCTCCTAGATCCTAGTGTATCAAAGACAAGTAAAACAAAATTTTGAACTATAAAAAAAAAGAAGCGAAATAGGATCTGTGTTTTAATGAGATTGGCATTTCATTTATTTTATAGGTTTTTATGTATTTGGGTTTTGTAAAATGTCATAATTATTTTTGTATTTTATTTGTATTTTTGTTATTTTTTTGTATTTTATTTGTATTTTTGTATTTTATTTGTATTTTTGTATTTTATTTGTATTTTTGTATTTTATTTGTATTTTAGGTTTTTATTAGTATTATTGGATCGAGAGATGAGTTACCCAAACAAAGATTATGTCGGGGCAAAAAAACAACCAAATTTTGCTTTGTTCGCGGAGCTGTTGAAAAGTTTTATGTTAAAGGTCCAAAATTAGGAAACCTTCGTATTTTAACAATAGAGGTAGGATTTTTGTTTTATATCTTAAAATATTGCAATATGCCTAGAAAACGGCTGGGAGAGCCACGGTAGTCAAACTGCGTTAATAACTAGGAATCCTTGAACTCGAGCCCAGTGTTGGCAGAGATAGTCTCATTTCCAGCATGGTTGCCAGTGGTACCAGACCCTAGTCATTTGGATGGGTTGAACACAAGGTCCTGTTTATATGTTGGTGTTCACATAATTGGACCTTTGTAATTTGTTGAAATGTAGGTGGAAACACAGATGCCCGAGCAAAGTTTCCGTCATAACACACTCCCATCTTCGTTATCCGCGTTGGTGCAGTGACTTGAACACAAAAAAACATAATTACATGAGAATTTCTTTTTAGTGTGATAGTGTGATTAAAGCATCTTTTAGTGTGATAGTGTGATTAAAGCATCTTTTAGTGTGATAGTGTGATTGAAGCATCTTTTAGTGTGATAGTGTGATTGAAGCATCTTTTAGTGTGATAGTGTGATTGAAGCATCTTTTAGTGTGATAGTGTGATTGAAGCATCTTTTAGTGTGATTGAAGCATCTTTTAGTGTGATAGTGTGATTGAAGCATCTTTTAGTGGGATAGTGTGTCTGAAGCATCTTTTTAAATAATTTGTTATATTTCAGCATGATGGTTTTGAGAAGCGACATGGTTTATATTTGGATAAAATAGAAGTTACGGATATGATGAATGAATTAACATGGGTTTTTGTTTGTAAAAATTGGTTATCGTTACATCATGGAGACTTCTGTATCAGACGAGATTTAGAGGCTGTTCAAAAAGAACAAGTAGTAAAAGGTATGGGCTGTCATTATTTTCTATATTTGGCTGATGAGCTGTGACAGAGAGAGACATCCACGCGATACAAACTAGGTCATTTTGGGACTAACATATGGTTCAATTTTATTTCATTAATTTGCTTGCGTGTAGGGCTCTTTAATAGAGGGAGGAAACCGGAAAACTTGGAGAAAACCAGTGATCCTACTCCCCAGTTGTACGTGACAAGGAGCTCGAGTCGGGTCACCTATACAACCTCATGGGTTTTCTCTGGGTCCTCCAGTTTCTTCCCACTGCTAAAGAACCCTACGAGCAAGCGAATTATTGAAATAAAGTTAAACTTTATTTTAGTCCCGAAATGACTTAGTTTGTGTCGAGTGGACGTTAAACCCATTTCTGTCTGTCTCTATCCTTTACTCCTTTTGACTAAATGACAGACCTTGTGATGCAACCATTCAGTCATCCAGCCCCTTCTGAGATCTGGTAAATAAGGAGAGTTATGTTGGGAAGCCACAGTGATTCAATGAGTAAGGCACTGGTTCATTACCCAGAGGATCCCAGTATTGCTGAGAAAGTGCTCCCCGGCGACCTGTGGATGTAGACTATTGTTGTGACTACAGTCTGAACTATCCGGACCATGCTCTATCATATGGTATGGCAGGTCACAAATACGAAGGTCGCCCAAGATTTTCCAACAAAGTTTCCCATCGTCAATGGTGCAGGACGTTGAGCCTGGCAAGGAACTGCGTCTAGTCGTTCAATGGCAGTCACTTTAAAGAGAGAGAGAGAAATGGGGTTTAACGTCCACTCGACACAAACTAGGTCATTTCGGGACTAACGTATGGTTTAATTTTATTTCAATAATTCGCTTGCGCATAGGGGTCTTTAGCAGTGGGAGGAAACCGGAGGACCCGGAGAAAACCCACGAGGTTGGACAGGCGACCCTACTCCTTGTCACGTACAACCGGGGATTCGAAACCACGCCAGTCGACTCAATGACAGACTTTATGATACAGCGCGCGCACGCTAACCATTCAGCCTTCCAACCCCCACACTTTAAAGAACCCATGACAGTTAAAATTTGAGGAAGAGAAGGCAGAAACACAGTTATCCAGTCATAATGAGAAGGTGGAGGGGGGAGGGAGAAGAGAAGAGGGGGGTTGCTGGAGAGGGGACGGTAGCCGAGAATTTCATCACTTTGATTTGAGATATTCATCTATTTATTATTCTAGAAATATGAAATTACAACAGTAAATGAATTTCATCATTTTGTTTTGAGATATTCTTCGTTTTATTTTTCTAGAGTATGAAATTACTATGGTAACTGGTAACAAGAGATTAGCAGGAACTGATGCTCGTGTTTTCTTAACGCTGCAAGGAACCCAGAAAACCAGTCAGAAAATTCACTTAAACAGAGGAAAGTCAGGAAAGGATCATTTTAACAAAGGTGGCACGGATAAATTCCAGATATCACTTCGAGATATCGGTGAAATTAAATCAATCAGGTATATAATTATCAGTAATTTGTATAACGGTTTCTGTGAGATGTTATTGGGTATTTCCAGCATGGTTTCCCTGCGTCTCTGGCATAAGGTCTGTCATTGATTAAACTGGCGTGGTTTGATTCCCCGGTTCTACGTGACAATGAGTAGGGTCGCCTGGCCAACCTTGTGGGTTTTCTCCGGGTCCTCCAGTTTCCTCCCACTGCTAAAGACCCCTACGCACAAGCGAATTATTGAAATAAAATTAAACCATATGTTAGTCCTGAAATGACCTAGTTTGTGTCAAGTGGAGTTAAACCCCATTTCTCTGTCTCTCTCTTGTGACTGGTGTAGGATGGAGGTATTGGCATGTAATAGTGTCTAGTTGTTTGGATGAGATGATAAATCAGGGTTCTGTGGGCATGTTGGAATTAGAGTAGGTCATAGTCTCGCTTATTTAAAGCGGCGGACACACTAGCAGAATGATTCGGCCGAATCAATCGGCGTCGAAATTCGTCTAGTGTGTCCACTGTCATTTGCCCGAATTATTCGCCCGAATCAAACAGGTTTGATATATTCTGCCGAATATTTATTCTGCCGAATATTTATTCGACCGAATTATATTCGCCTGGTGTGTCCGCTTCGCCGAAGCATTCGGCTGAATATAGAATTCATTAGCCAATCACCACTCATATCGAGAAGTCACTTGATAGATTGAAGACATAGATGCCGCCATGTTTAATCATGTGACATGAAAGGTGATGCAATCAACAGGTTGAATCGGGCGAAGCATTTGGCTAGTGTGTCCACCCATTCGGCCGAATAAAATTCGGCGCCGATTGGTTCTGCCGAACGATTTGGCTAATGTGTCCACTGCTTTAGAAAAGAGTCAGTGATGCATAGTGGGAATTTGAAATAAGAGTAGGCCATATAGTGTTACTAATTTTAGGAAAGATTTGGTTGATTAATTTGAATAAGTATTGATAGTGACAGCGACCTCGTTAGCTTGCCTCATTTTGACGAGGGATTAATGATTTGTTTTACAGTATTTTTAAATGTTGTATTTAAGGGTTGAACACGATGGTAAAGGATTTGCTGACGGCTGGTTTTTAGATAAGGTAAGACCTTAATAAATAAAGAACATAAATAAAAATCTTAAATATAGTACTATTGTTCTTAAAAGGCGTTTAGTTTGAAATTCACGAACATCAAATGACAGATGACATGCATGTAGAAGAACCCCTGGAATCTGAAGGAGAGTGCTACCTCGCACGCATAATGTAGCACCCTATTTTAACAGCCTTGTGATCACTTAGTATTTGTAATTCTCTTCTTGGGTCCATTTCTTCTTACTACTAACTCAGTAGTTAAGATGTTTGTCTTACAAGGAATAACAATGCAACAGTTCAGTTCTACATTTTATATAAAGCACTTGTCACATAGATTACATAGATTACATTAGCATACTTAAAATTAACATCTTTCTCTCAAACCCAACTCTTATAAAAATGTAAACAGCAAGGCTAGACTCAGGAAAGGGCTACATTGTATGGTCGTCTAAAGAACCGTCTACCCTCTCTGAGAATTCAGAGGCAGTCTCTAGGAACTCAGATGGTATCTGTCCGGAACCCAATGATATCTGATCTTAAAAGGCCTGGCAGTCTCTTTTATAGGACCCATATTTGTGTAGGCCTTGAAGTCTATCACACTCAGATCTGTGCAATTACTGATCTGATTCGATGGTAAGCCAAATGATGCAATAGGAATTTTCCGACACAGGTGACGCCATGATATAATTTTAACCCATCAAAACATCATGTTTATCGACCTTTGGAACATTTCTTGTATCAAAGTGTCATAGGTGTGTGTTATTCTCAATCTATCTCAACAGTAGGGGGGTTGGATGGCCGAATGGTTAGCATGTGCGTGCTGTATCATACGGTCTGTCATTGAGTCAACTGGCGTGGTTTCGAATCCCCGGTTGTACGTGACAAGGAGTAGGGTCGCCTGCCCAACCTCGTGGGTTTTCTCCAGGTCCTCCGGTTTCCTCCCACTGCTAAAGATCCCTACGCGCAAGCGAATTATTGAAATAAAATTGAACCATGTGTTAGTCCCGAAATGAGCTAATCTGTGTTGCGTGGACCCCATTTCTATCTATCTCTATCTATCAAAACAGTAATTTGACTCATACATATATGTGAACCCCATAATTAATTAAAGTTATGATATAATGCTATTAATTTAACCTGTTAAGCGTGACATTTTTTAAACGTTAACTACCCCCTATTGTGTAATTAATTTGACGAAGTGACAAAGAACTATGTACTATGTTCTAAGAATAGGTTGGGGAAAATACCTCCAAGGCGTTATATTACGCCCTACACACAGTGAGTGGCAGTTGTCCAGGACATTATATAACGACCTACGCACTTAACGGGTTAATTCTACAATAGTCTTACATTATCCACATAGATAAAAATTAGCATATGTTAGTCTCAAAATAACCAAAGTATTGTGATAAGACATTAAAGCCCACTCCATTTATATGGAGGGAGCCACGGTGGCTAGGTGGTTAAGACGCTGGCTCGCTAGCCTGGAGGTCGGGTGTTTGATCCCTGCATTGGCCGCGAAAGTTCATCCAGATTTTCCGACGTGGTTTCCCCTTGTCAGTGGTGCAGAACGGAGGGCCTAACAAGGACAGCTGTCTAGTCCTTCGGATGAGACGAAAAACCAAGGTCCTGTGTATACATTGGAATGCACGTAAAAGATCCCTTGACAGTTGGAATTCGATATAAGAGTAGGCCTTAGCGCCACTGCCCGGGCAAAATTTCCCTCATAGCACACTGTATGGCGTATGCCCGTCTTCATTAGCCCAGGTTAGGAGCAGAACAGTAGGACGTTAAACCCCATTTCATTTCATTTCATTTCATTTATATGGACCTTGATCAGGGAAACATGTCAAAATGATAAGTGTACCAAACATGATAGCTTTTAGCATGAAATTATTGCAAATGGCTCTGAAAACAAATAAATTGTTTAAGCATGTTACAAATAAATGTACATTTCGTTTCAGATTATAATTAAAAATACAGCTGATCCGAAGGAAACATATTATTTTGTGTACGGAGGTTGGATAGCTACGGATGAAGGCGATGGAAGTCTGTGGAGAGATCTGAAAGCCAAACGGAAACTGGATAAAATTCTTCTTAAAGGTAGATAACTCTTCTCTCTCTAACAGTTTGATAACCTCTCAATCATTTGGTTTCAACCATTTTAGAATTGAAAATAGTTGACTAAATCTTGATATCTCATCTAGCCATATTTAGTTAATTATTAATAGACTAACATATTAGGCATTTATTTTATTTACAAATAGGTTATTTTATTTTAACAGATTCATAGAAATTTAACCCACACATCCAATATGTCCATTTTTGTCAGATAGATCGTACTCGAGGTATATTATTTTACCAGTCATGTTGTAGACATAGTAAACAGAAACCTATTACCTTTAATTTGTTAATTTACCTGTAAATACACCTGTATTAATACCTGTAATTTACCAGTATTACACCTGTATTTTACCTGTATTATACTTGTATTATACTTGTATTTTACCTGTATTTATTTACCTGTATATTTATATACCTGTATTAATACTCCTGTATTTACCTGTATATTTATATACCTGTATATATTATTTATGTACAGTACCTGTGTTAATTGCTTTCCATATTTTTAATAGCACAGGATAAAAGATCTATGTTCTCAAAGAAAGGTGAAAAATAGCATCTTGTTTGTTCATGCTTGCGATTATTTAAATATGAAAGAAATTGTTTTGTGTTCGTTTAATGTTATACGCCCCCATGCATCCATCATCTCAAATTTTATACACCCCCCTGTATCCATCATCTCAAATTTTATATGCCCCCGTGTATCCATCATTGCAAATGATTTTTTAAATAGAATTGAACCATGTGTTAGTCCCGAAGAGACCTAGTTTGTGTCGAGTGGATGTTAAACCCCATTTCTCTCCCCCCCCCCCCACTAAGGTTTTCTCTTTTCCGTGAGCAACTGTCAAGTGTAGTGACGGTGGCTCGATGAAAATGGCACTGGCTCACTAACTTGTTCCATTCCTGGCTTTTGTAGTCTGGTTTCCTCTTGCCAGTGGTGCAGGACAAAGGGCTGGGCAATGAAAAACCTCTAGTTATTAGGATGGGACGAGAAACTGAATCCTGTGAATACCATGGCAGCACGTTTCAGATCCCTTTACAGATGACGTGACATGGAGTAGGGTCGCCTGCCTAACCTAGTGTGTTTTCTCTGAGTCCTCTGGTTTCCTCCCACTGCTAAAGACCCCTACGCACAAGTGAAGAATTGAAGTAAAATTGAACCATATGTCAGTCCCGAAATGACCTAGTTTGTGTCAAGTGGACGTTAAACCCCATTTCTGTCTCTATCTCCTTTACAGATGGAAATCGATATAAGAGTAAATCATAGAACAAAATTTCATCATGCATCTTCTAGTTTGTTGTGTTCTTGTATTAGCCCGGCTTTCCATGTATGTGTTTCCGCTACTTTTTTTGCTGGTTACTAGGGAAACAGCCCCATTATATTTGCATTACACCAACTTTTTTCATGCGCCAAAACATATATTGAAAACAGGTCTTAGATTTTTATTAGGAATGTCTTTGATTTATAACAAGAATGTTTTTAGATTGAAGCATGTACATTTATCAATATATCGAATGACTAATTTTAAATAATCATGTTGAATGCTAATTTATTTATTTTATTTTTTTTCTTTATTTAATTTGCTAGAAGGTAGTATTCATATTGATATATTTGTTGTCACCATTTTCTTTTGATTAAGATTTATTTTTTTTTTAATATATAATTTTTTATTTTTTTGTAAGATTTATTTATAAGATTTTTTTTTTTTATAAGATTTTTTTTTTTATAATTTTTTTTTTTTTTTTTGTAAGATTTTTTTTTTTTAAATAAGATTACTTTGTTAAATTTCGACCTGGCCTGGAAATAATGTTATCAGGTTTACTAGACAATGTCAGGCACTACTGAATAAACTAGGCACTGACATTATAGATAGTGACATATATTAAAGATACATTATTGTAGATCTAAATCTGCCTAGAGCAAGTCTTTTTTTTGGTCTTTTCCGGCGTGGTTCCCCCTTGTCAGTGATGCAGGACGGAGGGCCTGACAAGGACAGCTGTCTAGTCCTTCGGATGATACGAAAAACCGAGGTCCCGTGTATACATTAGAATGCACGTAAAAGATCCCTTGGCAGTTGGAATTAGATATGAGAGTAGGCGATAGTGCTGCTGCCCGGGCAAAATTTCCCTCATAGCACACTGTATGGCGTATGCCCGTCTTCATTAGCCCAGCATAGGAGCAGAACAGTAGGACGTTAAACCCCATTTTATTTCATTTCATTTTTTGGGGGCCTGGTTAGCATTGACAATCGATACTATTTTTCAGATGTTAAGAATGAAGCAATTTGACCCAAAAATTCATTATATTCATTTATCATTATCTATTTTTGAACTATTATAGCAAGAACTGACAGGCTCTCTTTCTAAATCTTACATAATGCATCTTTAAAAATAACAAAATTTGCCAGAAAAAAAGAGGAATTATACCTTAACCTTACTGCTCGTTATTGTTAGAGGGACAGGCAGTAGATTGATTGTACCTGACAAAGTGTGAATGGTGCCGGACAATGTCTGTGACCGGTGCATTGTTTCCAGGCTTGCTGATCGTTAGTTTTATTGTTAGTTAGTCACAGTAGGTGGTTCTATATCGTATTCCACTTTAGTTTTATACATGTAGTTAGTTAGTCACAGTAGGTGATTCTATACCGTATTCCACATTAATTGCATTGTTAGTTAGTCACAGTAGTTCAAAGTAGTAGGTGGTTCCAGTCAGTGTTTTTTAAGACGAGTAATCACCCTTGAGCACCTGTTACGCACCTGAATGTTGACCAAGGGGAGGCTTTTCTCCCTCCCCTTAAAATTGAAAATTGCTCTCCTTTACAAAGTCATGCTGGGGTTTAGTATCATTTTTGAAACCAGGAATGACCACATTACATGCAGTTATTGATCTTCAGAACCATTTCTACCAGAATCCACATTCTCCCAATCTGATTAAAATACAGATCTATATTTCGTTTCATTTTTTTTTATACTTTCGATGACCTACACTATATAAAGATCTGACCAGTTTTACTGAAAGGTTGCATCAAGGGTCGTACGAACGACTTTTGACCCTAAGGTGCTAAGGTCACCATTAGTAAATAGCAAAATATTTATTTAATTAGAATAACACTGTCTTGATTAGTTGCTATGGTGATCTATCAAAACATGCTGCTCTATAGATAATATAACTAGCACCTTAAAACAATTCAAATGTAAACAAATATAAAATAGGAAGTGTTGAAATTTCGCATGCATTTTTTTTTTTTTTTTACCACAACAGTCCATGTTATCACTCCAGTTAGCAATAGATAGTGATCGAAATCATGCACATGGTACAGCATGCTTTCTGGTCTAGAACACCCGATACCACTTTCTATTTATTTGGAGAATTCACATAGCTAATTTCTGAGAATATTCTATAATAATAATAATGTATTTTATATTCTGGTTGATTTTTTTTTTTCTTTGCCTAAACTAAAGTAAAATAAGTAAACCCAATAATTTGAATCAAAATAATCCTTTTATTAATATTAACGTGTTTTAAATTAGATTTTAAAGAGATTATTAACCATTAATGAAACTTAAAGATACATTTGTTAAGAGCTAAATATGCCTATTGCAGGGGGGGGGGGGGATTGCCAAATGGTTAGCACGTGCGTGCTGTATCATGAAGATCTGTCATTGAGTCAACTGGCGTGGTTTCGAATCCCCTGTTGTACGTGACAAAGAGTAGGGTCGCCTGTCTAACCTCGTGGGTTTTCTCCAGTTTCCTCCCACTGCTAAAGACCCCTATGCACATGCGAATTATTGAAATAAAATTAAACCATATGTTAGTCCTGAGTGGACGTAGTTTGTGTCGAGTGGACGTTAAACTCCATTTCTCTCTCTCTCTCTGCCTATTGCAAGACTTTCTATAGGCTTCAAATGTTATAGAAATTATTCATTAAAACATTATTTGGGGATCACGTGGCTAAGTGGGTAAGACGCTAGCTCGCTAGTCTGGAGGTCGGATGTTCAATCCCTGCATTGGCCGAGAAAGTTCATCCAGATTTTCCGGCGTGGTTCTCCCTTGTCAGTGATGCAGGACGGAGGGGCTGACAAGGAAAGCTGTCTAGTCGTTCGGATGGGACGAAAAAACCGAGGTCCCGTGTACACATTGGCGTGCACGTAAAAGATCCCTTGGCAGTTGGAATTCGATATAAGAGTAGGCCGTAGTGCCGCTGTCCGGGCAAATTTTCCCTCATATCACACTGTATGGCGTATGCCCGTCTTCATTAGCCCAGGTTAGGAGCAGAAAAGTAGGACGTTAAACTCCATTTCATTTCATTTAAAACTTTATTTACATAACTGAGTAGAGTTTATATTTAAACAGTCCTCCATTTAATAAGTAAATCATTAATTGGCTGGCCAAGCTAACATTTACCGTTAATCACTGACTTCACCCCCGAAGATTGTCGATGAAAGGGCTGATAGTTGAGGGTACGGGAGGCATTGAAAATGTTACTTGATAATAGAGAATATGTGGGTGGAGTTATCGTATGTCAATCAAACGATCTACAAATCGCAGAGACAGTTGAAGCCTACATGTATATCTAGTCCAAACTTTCAACACTGATAATTCTGTTCAGAACAAAGTAATTTGACTGAAATTTTCAACATTTTCTTCTTTTATCATCTATTTTTGAACTGTTATATCAAGAATGGCCAACGCTTTATTCAAATCTTAACTAATGTATCTTTAATGCAAGTTATTATGTCAACATAGGGCCTATCCTTTCCATAAGTATATCACGATCACGAATGTCAATGTTACCTTCCACAGGTATATTTCAACATTAGTGATTTCCGCTGTTCTCCGTGAGTCGATAAACAATCTGTGATGTCATTTTAGTCCTTGTGTTCATAGAAATATAGACTAGAATATGAGCAGGACTAAAATTACGTCACAGATTATTTATTAACGGAGAACCGTGGTAATTAATAACGTTGACATTTACCTGTGGCAGGTAACATTGACATTCAGGATTGTGTTATACTTATGGAAAGGATATGTTGACATAATTCCTTACATTATTTAAAAAATTTATGAACCTTTTTCGGTGATCTTTAAACTAAAACATTTTAAGAATTCAGGCATCTCATTGGCTGGGAGCTAAAATCTGTACTGGGAACTGAACCAATGAAATGCCTGCATCCTTAAAATGTTTTAGTTTAAATTCTAATGAGTTAGACCCCTGAATATGAAATGTTTGAATATTTTTACAGGTAGAAACATTAGATATCAGGTAACCGTTAGAACAGGTGAGGTCAAGTACGCGGGAACAGACGCCAATGTTTTTATACAATTTGTCGGACCAAAAGGCAGCACAAAGCAACTTAAACTGGACGACTCGAGAAATAATTTTGAGAAAGGAATGGTGGAAATGTTTGAGGTAATCAATATGGTGGTTTGTTACCTATCAACAGCATGCGTGTTTGGATTTGTTGTTATTAGCTTCAGTTTTACTGCTACCTCGTGGATGTTAGCGCTACCCCAGCTCCTCTATTTTGATTGGTTGACGACAGGCATGCACACTAACCAAACACATTAGAGAAATCAATTCAGACCTGGAAAAATGCGACTCACCCATAAGACTACAGAGCTATGTTAACCATGGCTAAATCTATTTGTTACGGTCAGTTTAATTTTTGTCAAGGTCGCTGATATGTAAATAAGGTTAGGGCACGCGAATGTTGGCGAAATTGTAGGTTAGAGGTAGGGTTAGGGTTGGGATTAGCGCTAGCCCTGTTTACATCTCATGACCTATGACGAAAAATTGAGCTTGCCTTATCATTTAGCACTAACAGCTAACCATCTAGCCCCCACAATTCCCCTGTGGTCTCACTTGTTTCAGAAGCTGGAGTATTTTAATGGTAGGCTTATAAATGAAATGAAATGGGGTTTAATGTCCTACTGTTCTTCTCCGACTGGGCGAATGATGACCGGCATACAGCGTGCTGTGAGGGAAAATTCACCCGGACAGCAGAGCTACAGCCTACTCTTATATCAAATTCAAACTACCAAGGGATCTTTTACGTGCATGCCAATGTGTACACAGGAACTCTTTTTTTTTTTATTCCATCCTAATGACTAGTATATAACAGCTGTTTGAAAAGGGCTGCAGGTTGTATTAAATGAGTTTTCGGTTTTTAAGAGATTTTTCATCTGTTCTGATCCATCTGGCTATAAATGAAACAAGTTTATTCTACAAATAACAGGTATTGATACAGGTAATCTTGTATTTTACAGGTAACAGGTATTGATGTAGGTGATTTAGATCATATTGTAATCGGACATGATAATGCAGGTATGGGTGCTGGCTGGTTCCTGGATTACGTAAGTTTTGATGCTCTTTACTTGTTTGGGGATCACGTGGCTAAGTGGGTAAGACGCTAGCTCGTCGCTAGCCTGGAGGTCGGGTGTTCGATCCCTGCATTGGCCGAGAAAGTTCATCCAGATTTTCCGGCGTGATTCTCCCTTGTCAGTGATGCAGGACGGAGGGGCTGACAAGGAAAGCTGTTTAGTCGTTCGGATGGGACGAAAAACCGAGGTCCCGTGTACACATTGGTGTGCACGTAAAAGATACCTTGGCAGATGGAATTCGATATAAGAGTAGACCGTAGCGTCGCTGCCCGGGCAAAATTTCCCTCATAGCACACTGTATGGTGTATGCCCGTCTTCATTAGTCCAGGTTAGGAGCAGAACAGTAGGACGTTAAACCCCATTTCATTTCATTTCTGCCTAGTAATTACCGGTATCATGAACTCTTTTTTGATATAATACTAGATCTGTTTGTTTTTGAAAGATTTGTGTTATTTTATAGACTTCATTTCCTTGAGGAGTGGGGTGGCCGAATGGTTAGCGTGTGCGCGTTGTTTGTATCATATGGGTCTGTCATTGAGTCAACTGGCGTGATTTGGATTCCCCGGTTGTAACAAGAATAGTGTCACTTGCCTAACTAGGTGGGTTTACTCTGGGTACTGCAAACAATAATTGAGATAAAAAATATACTATGTCAGTCCCAAAATGACCTGGTTACATAATTAAGTAATTTCTTTTTCAGGTAATTGTTAAAAAATATTTCACAAAACCGCAAATAAAAGAAAAATTAGAAAAATTACGATCAGGGAAAGAAGATGGCCGACAAGACGAGGGACAGGATGTTGATAAATATGTTGCTATGGGTCGTCGCCGAAGTTCAATGAGCAGAAAAAACAGTCGAAAATCATTTGATGAAGATGATGACGAAGACAGAAAAGATCGACGCCGAGATCGAAGTCGAAGTAAGTTAGACGCGGAGGAGATATTCGATCGTGATGGTAACGTTGTAAAAGTCCCGTTTTATGAAGAATATTATTTTGACCATAATCAGTGGTTAGCAACGAATGAAGGCGACGGTCTGACACAACGAGAAGTAAAACCTAGTAGAAAGCAGATTTATTATTCCGATAAAGTCGACTTATAAATTAAAAAAAACTACAACGAAATCCAATGGAAGAATTTGTTATTATTGAGCCACGTGAGAAAATTTGCTACAAAATGTTTCGAATGTTCACGATGTGAATATGACTAATCTTGACAACCCAAATCTGCTGAGTGCTCATTCATTTTTCACGATAAATATATCATTGGATCATCCAGTACACGATTAATTCAGGACCAGTTAACATAATATAAATAGACTACAAAATGGACAGGACGTGGGTTAATATAGCCTTGATTATCTAGGTCATATTTATTTATTTATTGTAAAGATGTCGGATGAATTAGAGTTAATATAGCCTTGATTATCCAGGACATATTTATTTATTTATTGTAAAGATGTCAGATGAATTAGAGTTAATATAGCCTTGATTATCTAGGCAATATGTATTTTAAAGATGGCGGATGAATTAGAGTCAATTAATTCTTTATCTGATAATTTGTTCGATAAATGTTGTATAATTTATGTTGAGGCCTTTTATCTTCCGAGTTTGGAATAAAATATTTTTGTTGGCATAATTCTTATGCTACATTAATTTTACCATGCCATATCCTCAGAGAAATTTTTATAAAATTGGTTGTAAATGGTGATTTGTGACTCCAATATAACTTTAAATTTCATCACTTTAAATTTTCTCGGCTACAAACAATCTGACCTTACGTCAATCAACAAATAGTCCCTGACGCGACCTCCCACAACAACTGGTCCGATCTTCATGCAGACGAGACCATCGAAAGTATTAATATAGATCTGTATATATATATATATATATATATCTGTATAAATTGGCATTATTTAAGATTAGATAAAAAGCTGACGGTTCTCGCTATGATAGTTAAAGAATAGATAATGAAAAGGAATATGCTGAAAATTCCAGTCGAATTGTTTCACTCTGAGCCAAAAAATCCTCATTTTAATAACACAGTAGCCTCGATTGTCATTGTTACTGTTTTTAATATAATAAACAAATTCTCGATTATCCATTTTCGCGGTTAATCATCAACAACTCTTGAACCTCATGAACCTCAAATCGGATTCAAATCTGTTGAAAATCGGAAACATTAGATAGCAACGAGAGTTGATTATGATCTTGTCAGGTAATTAAATTTAATTTCCGTAAATTTCAAATTTTAAACACCTGTGTTACTAGTTGTAATTACTGATTTAGTAATTAGTGATTTAGACTAAATATCAGCCTGTCTTTAAAACACCTCTATAATGGTTTTAATTAGTGATTTAGTAAATAGTGATTTAAACTAAATGTCAGTCTGTCTGTAAAACACCCCTTTAGTAATTAGTGATTTAGACTAAATACCAGTCTGTCATTAAAACACCTCACCGGTATAGAGGTTTTAATTAGCGATTTAGTAATAAGTGATTTAGACTAAATATCAGTCTGTCCTTAAACACCTGTATCGTGGTTTTAATTAAGTGATTTATTAATTAGTGATTTAGACATATGTATTTATATTGTTATGGTTACAAACTGTTGATGTTAGAATTGCTCAAGAATTTATAATGTATAATAATATATCGTTACAGAGCTGGTTTATCTGTGATATTTTTATAGATATTCTGTATTTTTAATTACATCTGGACTATGTCTATGAAAATGTTTTTTTGGGTTTATTTAAATAAGGGAGAATGGTCTAACGCATGAACTTTAGATTGCAAGGTCCATCCTAAAGTCAAGTTGTGTGGTTTTGATAACATATTTGTAGGTGACAAGGAGTAGCTTCACCTCTTCAATCTCGTGGGTTTTCTTTTGGTCAGGTTTTATTCCATCGCTCAAGACCCTCACACGTAATTGAATTATCGAAATATAATTGTACCATATGTTAGTCCCAAAATAACCTAGTTTTTGTTGAGTGGGGTTAAAACCATTTCTCTTTCTATAATGATAATGATTTGTCATAATAATTTAATGAAATGAGGTTTAACGTCCTACTGTTCAACACCAATTGGGATAATGAAGACGGGCAAACGCCATACAGTGTGCTATGAGGGAAATGTTACCTGGACAGCGGCACCACGGCCTACACTTATCTCGAATTCCAATTGTCAATGGTTCATTTGTTTGCATGTCATTGAAAACACAGAACCTTGGGGTTTTTTTTGTCCCATCCGAACGACTGTACTTGCTCCACTGTTAGACCCTTGATCCATCCTGCACCACTGACAAGAGGAAACCACGCTAGAACATCCCAATGAACTTTCTGGAAGTCAGTTGTTCGATCCCTGCATTGGCCGAGAAAGTTCATCCAGATTTTCCGGCGTGGTTACCCCTTGTCAGTGATACGGGACGGAGGGTCCGACAAGGACAGTTGTCGAGTCGTTTGATGGGATGAAAAAATAGGTCCTGTGTACACATTGGCGTGCACATAAAAGATCCCTTGACAGTTGGAATTTGATATAAGAGCAGGAAGTAATGCCGCTGTCCGGGCAAAATTTTTCTCATAGCAGACTGTATGGTGTATGCCTGTCTTCATTAGCCCAGTATAGGAGGAGAACAGTAGGACGTTAAACGCCATTTCATTTCATTTCATTTCTGCCTTGTAATTACCGGTATACTGAACGTTTTGTTTTGATATAATAACAGATCTGATTGATTTGATATAATAATAGATCGATTTGTTTTTTGAAAGATTTGTGTTATTTTATAGACCTTATTTTGACTATTTTTTATTTTGAAGTTTATGTATAAATAATTGTTAAATAAATATAAAATATCAAGAAATTCACCACTTTTTACTTTTTCCATAGTTTCTGTCACATGAGATGAGATAAGATAAATTTTTATTGCATCAAAACTCCCACCAGGGTGCAGCATACACTTGCATATAAACTATTTCAACAATTAAAAAAAATATAATTAAAAAAACACCAAAAACGTGGCACCACAAATTGAGAAGAATTTGACAGCTACCCCATTTTAATACACAGAAAATGCCAGTCTAGAATATACCGAAGGCCGGTAACTAAGGAGGCGACCCCCCCCCCCCCCCATGTGTTGTCCGAGAAAGATCATCTGGATGTTCCGGCGTGGTTCACCCTTGTCAGTAATGTAGAGCGAAGGGCCTGCGGGTAAGGGACAGCTATACGTTTGGCCTGGTGAAGTAGATCTAACATTATCAAGCTTCAAATACTAATGACAATGATAAAAGGATTCGGGGTCCGTGTTTCCAATTTTAGGTTTATTGTATAAAACGCCACACGGGTGGAGAATAACCACTCCGGTTTATCATCCAATCTGATTAAATATATCCGGATCTGATTAAATATATCCGGATATCAGTTTCTTGTTTATTTTCCTATATCCCATTGTTAGTTTATCCAATAATCTATATTCCACGACAAGCTTGCCATACAATCACGTTATATATAGACTTGTATCGTTACTATATCTAATTGTTTGTTTATCTTATAATTATCCTATATTCCACGACAAGCTTGCAAAAAAATCACGTTGTATAAAGACGTGTATCGTTACTATATCCCATTATGTTAGTTTATGTTATGATCTACATGTAAACACCACTAAACACGTGACCTGTTATAAATAACAAATATATGGACACAGATCACTAAAGATTTCCCCATTGACTCCAATGTTAATTCTCGTATCTTACACCGGCTCTAACTTTTTCCCAAATTTTCGTTGGGTAGAACGCTTTCTACCACAGATGGAGCAACATGTGGCAACCACTTGCCCAAAAGCACGTATGAGTTTCTTAATTCATGAAAAACTTGAGATACACAAGCTGGAAGTAGAGACAAGTAAACATGCAATTTCAGCCCTACATTCAACGTAACCAACCTCTCAACTCTTGTATCCTTCCGCATCAAAATTATGAATATTCACCAAAACCTGGCAGAAAAGGTATTTTCAAACCCTTTTCCTCAATTCTACACCAAAAAGTCAACAAAAATCGCCATGCAAAAGGGGGAAAAAGGAAAAGGGAAGAGGAAGACTAAAAATAGCTTTGGCCCTTTGGTGATCTGTGTCCATATACAGTTGAAGCATGACAGGAAGTAATTCAATACGAAACGAAAAGTAGAGTTTCTAAGGAACTGTAGCAATTCCTGGCATGTGTGCGGTTGTTGTGTAAGGGATTTTGATTTTTCAGCCTGAAGATGATGAAGTATAGTGTTCTGATTTTAAATTTACACCACTAACTGCATGACCTGTTATAAATACAGTTGTACCTGTTAATAGTATTATGTATATACAATTATATTATGACTAGACGTAATTCAATACCAAGAAAGTGAAGCAAGTCTACGCATGTACGCGGTTGTTGTGTGGTTGGCTTAAGTGATTTTAATTTTTTATCTTAGACATCGTGAACTGTAGTGTTTTGATTTTTTAGTCGACTAGAGTATATTATACAAGCCTACTCGTTTGGGTTTGTATTTGTGAAGAGTTTCAGTTCGTGTGTTATACAACCAGTGTGCGCATGTAGGCCTACACTGTTCTGTTGTGGTGTGATTGTCTAGGTGACTTTGACGTTTCATTCCGGAGACAGCAAAGTGTAGTGTCTCGATAGCGTATATTGACCTACTCATTTTTTTTTTGTGGCGAGTTTCAGCTCGTGTAGTATACAACCAGTGTAACAAACAGTAATTTAATATGGCTGAACAGACAGATAAGGAAGTGTGTAGTATCTGTTTATACGACTTCAAACATCCTGTAAAAATCGACTGTCAGCATTCGTTCTGCTTCATCTGTTTAGAAGATTATGTGAACAAAACATCTGCTAAAGATCAGTTCCAATGTCCATTATGCCGTTGCCTTATAAACGTTGGTGACAGGGGCGTGCAACTAAACACTGAGGCCAATTCCACAATTAATATTCCAAAGTGCGATGTATGTACTGAAGATACATCTCAATATTTTTGCCGAGACTGTGATCAGTATTTATGCAATTCTTGTAGAACCATGCATGATAAGATTAAAATTTGTAAAGACCATGTTGTTTGTCGATATGACGAAAACCAAATCGATGAACAATCAAGGTCGAACGAAACAAAGAAAGAAAAGAGACCAGTCAATTTATTCACAAATCCTAAAGACTTTTGTCCAAATCACGAAAGCGAGAAAGTTACAACCTACTGTAAAGATTGTACACTAGCCATGTGTTTAAAATGTTTCGTGGCCAATCATAACGGACACAATTATTTAGATTTACAGAAGGACGAAGTCAGACAAAATATGAGACAAGACTTAAGAACATTAAATGATGCATTAAAAACACAAATTGACCGTTTTGAGAAACATAATGATAATTTGAATAGTAAACTAATCGAAGTCAAACATTTTATAAAAACTGAATGTGACAAAGTAGATGCACAGATGGATAAAATCTGCTCAGATGTTCGTAGAATTGGACAAAATATTAAAAAGAAAATGCAGGAAACTAGTGAAGAGGAAGAATCCAAATTAGGGAAATTGACGGAGGACATTAAAAGACTAACAGAAGATTTAAAAGCTAGTGTTAAATATTCAGAGAATATTTTGGAAGATTCGTCCATTGTTGAAGTTTTGAAAAGATTACCTAAAGTTAGACAGGAGAAAGATGAAAGTTGTTGTAGAAAATTGGATATACCTGATGTAAGATATTCAAAATTTCAAGTAGCAGAGATAGATCAAACGCTGTTAACCAATCACCTTGGTAAGATTGTAAATTGTTATCAGAATATGTTTGAAGATATCTTTAATGTGGATACTGTGAGTAGTGGTTGGTGTTCTGGTAAACAACACGTAGTTTCCGGTTTTACATGGAGTATCGCTGTAGTTATAGATTCGTTATCATTATTTGTTAAATTGTACCTGGATGACGTAGAAGATAACAGTATTACGTTATGTGACGCTGACGTCACATATAAAGTTATAAATAAAACAGATGATAGACAATCTGTGGTTAAACAATTTATTGGTGGCGTGTCAGCTTGGTGTGATATTATTGACTGGTCATATTTCAGTGATCCTGTCAATGGATTTACTGATGATGATGGAAACTTTAAAATTCAAGTAACAATTAATGAAGTTACTGACATTGAAAGGTGTGCAGAATTATGCTAGTGCTATTCTGATTAACAGTTGCTTAGTAATATGAGTAAAACATATTTCAAATTTTATGTAAATGTTTTCAAGTTCTAGGATAACTTATATGATTGTGTAGTGATTTGACAACCTGTTTAGCAATAGGTATAGAAATAAATAAATATGTTTTATACCTTTAATGTCAATGGCCGAATGGTTAGCACGTGTGTGCTGTATCATAAGGCCTGTCAATGAGGCAACTGACGTGGTTTCGAATCCGCGGTTGTACGTGACAAGGAGTAAGGTCGCCTGTCCAACCTCTTGGGTTTTCTCCGGGTCCTCTGGTTTCCTCCCACTGCTAAAGACCCCTACGCGTAAGCGAATTATTGAAATAAAATTGAACCATGTGTTAGTCCCGAAATGACCTAGTTTGTGTCGAGTGGACGTTAAACCCCATCTCTCTCTCTCTCTCTCTCCTATAATCTATATTGTATCTGACAGTTATATATGTCAACCATCAAGTTATATGTATGGGACGGAAAACCGCATTTCCGTTTACACATTAGCGTGCAGCTAAATTAACCCCTGACAGTTCGAATTGGAAATAAGACTAGTCCGTAGCGCGGCTGTCCGGGCAAAATGTCCCTCATAGCACACTGTATGTTGTATGCCGACTTCATTTGCCCCGTCGGAGTAGAAAAGTAGGATGGTGAACCTTGTTTTATTTCATTATACTGACTGTTCATTGTTTTGATTGGTTGAGATATTTTACGTGTTTCCTCTGACAACAGAATATATATAAAAAAAGATAATCAAGCAGAAAACGGACGTCAAGTCTTAAGCAACGAACGAACCATGACTAAAACATAAGATAGCCGTCGACAACAACCTTATCCGAAAGTAGCAAGCTTTTCCGAAAGTAGCAAACTTATCGGAAAGTAAAAGTGTGGCCCCCAGAGAGCGCAAAACAAATTTTAGGCCAATTAAAGGGACTTAAATCTTTAACGAAAGAGGCGACTGTACTGATATTCAATTCAAAATCGTAAAAATTTAAAGTGCTATGTAAAGGGCCATAACTTCTGAACGACAATTTGATTGTGTTCAAATTCCAGCTCAATTGTCGCCTTGTCAATAGAGTCATTATCCCAACGTTTTATATTATTCCTCAAATATTGTGGCCTCTACAGAGCAGACAAACTACACTAATCAAGGGGCCATAACTCTGGAACTATAAAAAAGTGGTTATTCTCAGATGCAATCCCAACTGTCGTCTTGAAATAAGAATCATTATACCGAGGGTTGATTAAAATTCGTCAATAATTACTCTAGAGAGTGGATAGGCAAGTGTGGACGGACAGGGCAAGATATTATACAGCCACTGCGTTCTACAGTTGGTAGCTTTATTTAGGGAAGATAACTCTATTAAGAATTTATTTTGATAATGTTGTCATATTTTCGCAACATTACAAGAATTAGAATCGACTGCCTCACCTCGTGGGGTTTCTCCTGCCCCATCCAACTACTAAAGTCCTCATTGGAATTATTGAAATATAACTGAGCCCCCCCCCCCCCCCTAACATTTCCGGCAGACGAGTAAAGTGAAAACAAAAATTATTATTTCATCTAGTTGGCAAAATACACATAAGTGCCCGAAATCTAGTAAAACGCTAATTTTACTTTTCTTTTTATTGAATACCATGGATTGAAGCATTTTGTCTGGGGCCCTTCTACTTTGTGCTTAATTTTCGGGAATCGATTATTATTTGTAAATGCAGCTGAAACAGTCTGGACCTGGTGAGGGATTTGATGATTAAGAAGAGTTATCATAATAAGGGGAGCGCACATTCATAAGACAGTTGTTGTTCGTGGTGTTTAACATTCGCTTCCACTCAAGGTGATATCGCAGTCATCTTTATTTTAATTATTTTAGCACAAGAGCAGGATATATGTTGACCTTTATTCATTAAATATTTCTGGTTGTATGTAGCCTTTATTTATAAAATATTTCTGGATGTGTGCTAGTCATGATCTATCGAATATTTCTGGTTGTGTGCTAGCCTTTATTTATAAATAATTCTGGTTGTGTGCTAGCCATTATTTATAAATAATTCTGGTTGTGTGCTAGCATTTATTTATAAATAATTCTGGTTGTGTGCTAGCCTCTATCAAATAATGGTTGGAATTCAGCTCGGCATAGAGTGGGATTTTGGGTACAAACCGATTGGTAACGTTTCTTTGGGAGTGCAAGGCCCAAATACCTTACAACTGTTTGATTATTGGGATTTATGATTCAGGTAGAGTAGGTTATATTGGACCACATTGAAGTTGATGTATTCACGGGCTGGAATAGCAGGAGAACGCGTTTGCCGCAGTTAAATTTTCAAAAAATGTGTGTTTGTGTGTGTGGGGGGGGTTGGGCGAATTATCAGGAATTATCAGTGAACAGAAATTCGCCCGTCTATCTGTTGTCGCTCGTTACTTCAGTCAGTACAGTAGTCTCTGTCATCCAGAAAAATATTTTACGAATATTAGTCGGGATGCGTTGTCAACATTTTAGAAAAATAGGTCATTGGCTAGATTATCCAGTCTTTTACATTATCATAAACAAAGTCTAAGGGAGGTAAATAGTACCAAAATAATTAATTTCAGAATGTCGTTTCAAATAATCCATTTGATTGCATGCCAGTTTAATATCCAGCACTCTTACTTTTTTATTGTAAAATATCTCTCTTCAAGGACCATATCTATGTTTTTAAAAATTAATCCTAATTCGTCATCACGATTCATGTTTGTTTATATTAATGCAAGAATTATCGGATTTATTGCGGGAAGAGGACTAACTCTTACTTGACTTGGCCAGAAGATACTGGATAATCAACCACATTAAAAACCAAACTCCCGGCTACGCATGGGCACTGGACTTTACGTCAAATATTGACAACGGTCTCAGACCCTACGTACGTTGAAGGCTAGGAGGTTCTGGGTGACCGAGACTATCAGTACAGTAATATAGAAGGATGACTCGTGTTTTCCTTTTGCTTTCATCACTTCCGTTTCTTACAATTTTCATTCAGCACATATCGTAGCGAGTATCTCTGTGGTAAAATTATATTTGGAACGTGTTTGACCAGTTCTATCACATATGTGATAATGGCTGACACCAATGTTGTCCTTTAAGCGATTATACTGGCATGCAACTATTTGATGACGTTAGTTTATGATGAGATAATACTGGACAGTGTATGGTGAAATTGGGTTGAACTGGGATTGGTTGATAAATCGTTAATCGAATTTGTAGGACCTTTTCCGTGATTTAGCCCATTGTTATTGAAGTAACGAATCACTAATTTATTTATTGTCATTTGTGTCATATTATTAAATATATGCAAACGCATTTTAAATACTATCGCCATTCAAATAATGGTCCAAATGAGCCAAAGTGATAATGGGATAAACTAAAATGAAACAAGATACTGATATCAATTTCATAATCTTTGTTCTACCATATTTAGGGGTATCGAAAAATCATGGACTTTAATCAATAGCCTGTTAATACAAATCGGATGATTACTTTTGTCGTTTTAGTTCACAAAACTGCACTAAACTAACGGTAATCGGCTGTTTCGGACCACATTCTTGGTTCATTCGGGCCATGATAAGGCTCATTTGGACCATTATTTGAATGGCGATAGTATTTAAAATGCGTTTGCATATATTTAATAATATGACACAAATGACAATAAATAGATTAGTGATTCGTTACTTCAATAACAATGGGCTAAATCACGGAAAAGGTCCTACAAATTCGATTAACGATTTATCAACCAATCCCAGTTCAACCCAATTTCACCATACACTGTCCAGTATTATCTCATCATAAACTAACGTCATCAAATAGTTGCATGCCAGTATAATCGCTTAAAGGACAACATTGGTGTCAGCCATTATCACATATGTGATAGAACTGGTCAAACACGTTCCAAATATAATTTTACCACAGAGATACTCGCTACGATATGTGCTGAATGAAAATTGTAAGAAACGGAAGTGATGAAAGCAAAAGGAAAACACGAGTCATCCTTCTATATTACTGTACTGATAGTCTCGGTCACCCAGAACCTCCTAGTCTTCAACGTACGTAGGGTCTGAGACCGTTGTCAATATTTGACGTAAAGTCCAGTGCCCGTGCGTAGCCGGGAGTTTGGTTTTTAATGTGGTTGATTATCCAGTATCTTCTGGCCAAGTCAAGTAAGAGTTAGTCCTCTTCCCGCAATAAATCCGATAATTCTTGCATTAATATAAACAAACATGAATCGTGATGACGAATTAGGATTAATTTTTAAAAACATAGATATGGTCCTTGAAGAGAGAAATTTTACAATAAAAAAGTAAGAGTGCTGGATATTAAACTGGCATGCAATCAAATGGATTATTTGAAACGACATTCTGAAATTAATTATTTTGGTACTATTTACCTCCCTTAGACTTTGTTTATGATAATGTAAAAGACTGGATAATCTAGCCAATGACCTATTTTTCTAAAATGTTGACAACGCATCCCGACTAATATTCGTAAAATATTTTTCTGGATGACAGAGACTACTGTACTGACTGAAGTAACGAGCGACAACAGATAGACGGGCGAATTTCTGTTCACTGATAATTCCTGATAATTCGCCCAACCCCCCCCACACACACAAACACACATTTTTTGAAAATTTAACTGCGGCAAACGCGTTCTCCTGCTATTCCAGCCCGTGAATATATCAACTTCAATGTGGTCCAATATAACCTACTCTACCTGAATCATAAATCCCAATAATCAAACAGTTGTAAGGTATTTGGGCCTTGCACTCCCAAAGAAACGTTACCAATCGGTTTGTACCCAAAATCCCACTCTATGCCGAGCTGAATTCCAACCATTATTTGATAGAGGCTAGCACACAACCAGAATTATTTATAAATAAATGCTAGCACACAACCAGAATTATTTATAAATAATGGCTAGCACACAACCAGAATTATTTATAAATAAATGCTAGCACACAACCAGAATTATTTATAAATAAATGCTAGCACACAACCAGAATTATTT